AAGTCTGTGATTATTAGGTCAGCTCGGAGACTATTGAAGTAATCAGGCTTGAAGTATAAAAAGCCTTTTTTTTTGAAGGTGACTGTAACTAAAGTATTGACAGTGGACATGAAAAAAAAAATCGAGAGATTTCAAAGAAAACTAATGAGAATAAAGCAATGAATCCTCATCATTAATGGTTAGTTAAACCTCATACTTAGTATCTGTGCATGTTACCTCCAATAAAAGATAAGCTTTTTGAGGAGAGAGACTATTTCATTTTTGTCTTTGTATTCCCAGTACATATCACAGTGCCTGGCACCTGATGCTTAAAATATGTGGGTATTTGAATGTTACTGTAGAATTTCATGGTGAGAAAAATTGAGTTAAAAGAATAATGTAGTTGCACAGGGTCACTCAGGTGAGTAGTAATGGAGCTATTATTAAAGTCTAGTTACTGAGTCAGCCACTCTGTGATTTTACACATCCCCTAATTACCTAGTATTTTAAAGTATTGATCCAGAGTAGTAGGTTTTTTTCAGAGGGAATGGGGAGAGGTAAAAAAATGAGGAGGCTGTTAATTAAGGGGAAAAAAAGGAATGGATCAGAAAATAACTGGATCTAGTTTTGTGAGGTGGCGAAAGAAAAACTAGTTTAGCTCAACCTGGATTATAGGGAGGTATTTCTTGATTTTTCCAGTGCATTCTATCATGCTTTTTAATAAGCATTTTTCATGAAAAAGCTTTCTACTGAACTAAAAATTTGAAGTACTAAGCAAACATAACTATATGTTGAAATAGATTATGCTAGTGTAAAATCATAGATTTGAAGCTGGATGGTTGTTGGAGAACATCAAATCCAACTCCCTCATTTTTATGGGAACAAATTTAAGTGACTTATTCAAGGAAAAATGAGTATCAGAATTCTTGAAGAGCTAAGAACTCTTCTGAAGTCCTATGACTTCAAAGAGATTTTTCCACTGTGCTGTCTCAGAATTGTGGCACTTAAAATATTATGTTGGTAATTATTATTTGAAAGGCCATTATAACAGTAAGTAATATAGGCAATAAACAACAAAAAGTGAATTTGGGAACCTTTTGTTGAGTAATTAAAATGCAGAAGGTGTACATTGTCCTTTTTCTCAAGGAACCTACAATGAGGGAACAAGACGTATATAAATATGATAGAAAATAGAGTGTGATGGTGCATGAAAGGTATAATACACTATATTCTTGAAGAAATGAGAATATTTGACTGGAGTGTTCAGGGAAGACTTTGTAGAAGAAGCAACATGAGCTGAATTTTGTAAAATAAAATTTCATTGTGATAGAAATATAGGGATTGCTGGGATAAGGTGATTTGAAGAAGATAGTACTAAGTACTCAGAGGGATCATGGAAATTGAGAAGTCAGGAAGAGAATTTTTCTGTTTGTTTTGGGGGAAGAGGATAATTGTTCTATTTGGGGCATGTTGAGATGTTGACAGGACATCAGGTGAAGGTATTCAATAGGCAATAGATAATAAAGGCCTGAAATAATTCAGGAGAGAGATTAGAATAGGATAGGTAACTTTGGGGAACATTTGAATGAAGTTAATAATTGAAACCATGGGAAGCTGGTGAAATCACTAAGAAAAGAGAAGTACAGAGAGCCTAAGAGAGAGCTAGGGTGAATATCCAAGATAAGGAGAACAGGATCGATGATCATCCAGAAAAGAAGAATTGACAATACTGGTAGCAGGAACAGCATGAGAGGGCAAAGTCAAGTAAGTGAAGGGAGAGAAGAGTAAAGAGTAGAATGGGGTGGATCAACACTGGCAGAAAGTTTTAGAGAGGTCAGGGAGGGAGGACAAAGAAAAGACTTTTGGAGTTAGCAATTGAGATGGGATTTGGAAAGAGAAATTTCATTCAAGTAGTAGAGTCAGTCAGATTACATGGGACTGAGAAGCAAACAAGTTGTGAGGAGTTGGAGGCAATGAGTGTAATCTTTTCCCCCCAGGAGTTGGGCAGTAAAAATGAGGAGGCATGAGGCATAGTAGCTTGGAGGAGGGTCATGTGAAAACATTATTCCATTTC